AATGTAATTGTGTAATTTATTTTAATAATAAAGAAATAAACAAAATGAAACAAAGTATACAGATTGTTATCAAATATTTGTTGCTTAAAATCATTAATTGTCATATATATATATATATATATATATATATATATATATATATATATATATATATATATATATATATATATATATATATATATATATATATATATATATATATATATATATATATATATTTTAATCACGTTAGGTAATTTTGTAGGTTTTATTTAAGGAAAGCATGCGAAACAATAAATATTTGATATATGCGACCAACTATAGCATACCAAATATTTATATTGGTAGAAAGTGTAATTTTTAGACTATACATTATATTATATGTTCTACAATTTTTCTAAATTGAAATAGAAGACAAAGAACTATGCTACATAGGATTGAGATTATTCTTTGCTCGGAAGCGCTTATATTGGGATTAAAATTGTTGTTGCTTGCTAAATTGCTGTTCTTTGCTTGCCTTTGTTTGACAAGCTTTGAATTATTGTGATGCTTAAGGGTTTTATAATCATTTTTGTGGCTTTAAAGATCGGTTTGGCTGATTGACCAAAAAAAAAAGGATCTGTTTGGCTCTCGAGCTGGATTCCAAGTGCAATCTTGTAATCAGTTATCAAACAATCATTAATTACTTAATGACATTTACATGTGTAGCTAAAAAAAGCAGCATAGTTCTTTTGCCAATTATATAATTTCAGTACCAAAACTTTGAGACAGTTCTGAATCAACCTTCACTTATGAATATAACATCCAACTAGAGTTTGATCTGCACGGATGTACGGATATTTTTTTATTTTATAAATATATAACTAAAATTTTTAAATATACGATTTATATTTTAATTTTAATTAAAGTTAATTTCTAATTATATTTAATAATGAAATACTTATTTTCTATAAAAATACTTAAAATTTTTGTTAAGATATTGTTAGATTTTTTTTCAACAGATTTTGTTATTTTTAAATAAATTTATTATTAATATTTTTATTAATTATTAAGATATTTTCAAAACAATACATATATTTGATTGATTAAGTAACAATCATATATAGTAATTACTTAATTATTATTATTTATTTATTTTTTTTTTTAATGACATAGTATAACATAGTATAATTAATTAATGACATAGTATAACATGACTTTTAAATAATACTAGTTGGTAGTTCTCTTTTAATAGAGAAAATTGTTTCATAATACCGGGAATATTTCAGTGAGCGCAAGAAAAAGAGAGAGCCAATGACAAGAAAATCGAAAGTAACAAAAAGCTCCACTATGTTATTTCGTACGTCTCTCATAGACTTATCTTGCAACTTTTTGCCACCTAGACTGCAATGATTAAATGCATAATCATTCCCACCATTACCAAATAGATATTGTTTCTCCAAGAAACTATACTTTAGAAAATGTAGAACACAAACAAAACATGAAGGAGCATCATCTCTGACATCTGAAGCTAAAAACTAACACCCACAGACAAAATTTGAGAAGACAATAACAGAATATGAAATACTTATAAAACCCAGAATCTTAAATATATAATAAAATACCATTACATAACGTAGTCTCTGCTCCAAAGAGCAATACGATACTAAACACAAACTGATTTCAACACAGAGACTTTAAAACAAAGAGAAAGAAAAGAAACGCACTGCAATAAACCCAATTTAGATTCACGCACAAACTCCTTTCTACCAGAAAAAGGAGTAAAATTGCGTTATTGGGGCTGTTCTGATATTCAATAATAGCATTTTTAACTTCAGCTTGGGACCCAAAACACAAATATAATAACCCCAAACCTTTTTTCTCAGACAAAGAACATAACGTTCTCAAGCTCCTTGTGGAGCTTGAATATAGCTTTGTCCTCCAAACTCAAAGAAGAGAATGAAGAGGCCAGTGGGGGAGGAGGCGCACCTCGTGGCTGCCTAATGTTCTTCTCCCGTGAGCTCGCCTCGTGGTACATTCGTCCTCTAAAGGCGACCATGTCCGCATAATAGACTGGAGGTACGAGAGAGACAGGTTTAGTGCAACGAGTGAAAGTGAAGCACATTTCGAAGATAAGCTTCTGCAACTGATCTGAAGTGAATCTGAGTTCGTCCCAAAGAGCATAGTAATGAGTCGGCTTGCTTGTCCCGATGCCTCCATGGTGACTGCAGAGGTAGAAATCGTACTCAAAAGGATGAATAACTTTGGTATCGACCACCGTACCTGAAGGAACATTTCCCTTGTCACTTCCATCATTGCATGTGGCAGGGAAGAAACGGGTTTGATGACGTTTCTGCGCCACGATTACAGTTATCTTCGGGAAGTAGTTGTTCTTCTCAAAAGTAAGCTTCAGATCAAGCAACTCAACATTGAGAACCATGTCGAACTGACCATCACTGACACCATCACGGAAGATGACAATCTTGTTAGGCCGTTTCCCGGTGGCCTGAACATGAGCTTTAACAAGCTCAAGGCACGTATCACCAAATCCTTGTATCTCTTCTTTCCGGTGAGGCTGTGCAATGACTCTCGCTGCGTAACGGTTCGCTTCAGGCCAGTTTAGAGTACCCACAACAGCAACAATGGAGGGGCTCATCTTGTCTCGAGCAGCTGGATGGTTGACATCAGCACCGATGAACATGACCTCATCCTCTCTTTTGAAGAAAGAGAAAGTAGTATCCATCAGCTCCACATTACTTCCACCAACTTTTGCATTGATCTTGAGGGCGAGATTTGCACGGTACTGGTCACCTCCTCTATTGGCTGAACTGGTCAAGAAACACTGAGTCACCAGACCAAGTTTGGTCTCGGCTATCCATTTCAGAGTCTTGTAGCCATCAGCCCTCCCAGACATAGCACACAGAACAAGATTTGGACGAGCCCCACCATGCTTATTCTTAGCCTCGTCAATCACTTGCCGAAGCAAATCCTCTAGAGCATTAGAATTAGAAAGCAAATCCATTCTTGCTGGTTTGTAAATGATGGGATCATCCAGATGCATCCCAAGTGTTGAACAACGATTAATAAGTAGCTCCACAAAGTCGTCAGCCATCCTGAATTTGTAATTCCTCTCAGAGGCAGTAAAGTCAAGAAGAGCCCAATGCTTGACTACCGAACCCCGCGTGACTCCCTTCCTCATAAGGTTCCATTGATTGTTCTGTCTCGGATTAGGTTCCTCCCGGACAGGTTTGCCTCTCTCTGCCAACTTCAACGCCGGAGCCTTGAGAACACGACCTTCCACAGGTGTCATCGTTGTATCAACTTTCATTCCAAAGTTGCCAATAATTTCTCCACCGCTAGGACCATCACTGGACTGTATCATCTTGAGTATATTCTTCTGCCTTTGTTGCGGATTCACTAGTGACAGCTTCTTCAACCACAAGGCTGAATCTTTATCCAATCCTTCCCTAGGGTAAATCTGTCCTTCAACTAAAACGCAAAACTCCATGGGCACCAGATGTTCCCGTCCGTTTTTACCCAAATCCAAGCAGGGAATATTCTTGTGAACAATGTCTCTTCCATACTTAATCCTGAAATACTCAACAATAGTCGTCTCCCTCGGCGGTTCATTCCCCTCTTGGTCGATAAGTTTGAATTCAGCGTCTTTCGTGTCTTTCTTACTCAGTCCCACAATGGTGTGTTTCTGTTTGTTCTTCCGGTGAGTGACAGTGACTTTCAACCCAATCAATTCCTTCTCCACATCGTGTCTGTTGAACTGACGCTGCAAATCAGACCACCCAAAGTAGAGCTTGAGATACTCGATGACGGACATCGACTTCCGGAACGCCAGGACCGAGTAGTCCAAGCACAAGGATAAACCTTGCGCTGTGGGCTTTAGAGTGTGTTTGTAGCCTTTGGCAGCTGCAACACCAAAACCAAAGTCCTCATCCCTCTGAGTCTCGCGAGTGAAAAAGCTTTTACCAACGGTAATCATACACTTTGAAGGATGCTCCTTCATCACAACATCCATTCCTTGCAATACATCACGAGGGTTGAAAGACGAAGCACCTGTCATGTAGTCTTTCAAGTCACGGAGCTTGAGCTCATTCACCTGCTTGATAGTGAACGTATAGCTCCGAGCTCTCATCTCTTCTGTCTTGGGAATATCCACCTTATACGAGCCAGTAGGAAGTTGAGCTGCGCTGAAGATATTCTTCTGACCATCATACGCTGTCATGGAGAGTGGAAAGTCACGGGGATTTTCGGAGAACAATTTGTCCCTGACCATAGAAAGCTCGAACTTTGATATCTTCTTAGTGGGAATATCTCCTTTGATGTCAACATCGTAATGCCTAATGACACTATCGGGATCAATGTGCACACGGAAGTGGTTGACAAAGAGGTTTACACGACGCACAGCTACGACACCGCCTTTATCAGGACGTCTCATTGGTTCTTTTCTCTCGGAAGAAGCAACTTGAACCTTCTTCTCAGGAGAAGAAGAAGAAGAAGCTTGAACTTGTACAGATGGCCTGATTTCAGGACCTGTCAAGTTAAAAACAAACGGACAAAATTAATGACTAATATAAGATACATTTGTTTAATAATAAGTTCCACTGGAACTGGAACCATAGGAAAAGTGAGTTTATACCACGAGCCGTTTTAGAAACTGCGACCGCCGCCGTATCAGAAGATATCAGTGGCTTACGACCCCACGCGCCTCTGCCGACGCTTCCAATTGCAACGGATTGACTCACTTGAGCTTGTGGCGGAGGCTGCTGCTGCTGCTGCTGCAACTGCGTCCCACGGCCACCCTGACCCGGCGGTGGTCCCCACTGACTCTGGCGTCCGACTTCCTGTTCGTATCCGCCACCACTTCCACCGGAACTCTGTCCACGATTTCCAAAATCGCCACCGCCTCGCTGGGAACCACGACCGCCAGCTCCATAACCACGACCGCGATCTCCGCCGCCGCCGCCATAACCTCGGCCTCCACCACCTCCGTCACCACGACCTCCGCCGCCTCTGCCACGGCCATCACCACGACCTCCACGGTAACCACCTCTCTCCATGTTGATGATTGGATCTGATCGGGAAAAAATCGGTACGATTAATAGAGGAAAGTATGTGATTGCTTTTAACTTGTGAACTAACTGAATCCGAGAGGTCTCTTTTTTTATATAAGGAGAAAAGGAAAAGTTTGTGTGAGAGGAGAGAGAAGCCTTAGCTCGTAAGGAGTAGGACTTTTCTTAAAAGTTCGCGAATGTTCCACGAAAAAGTAAACAAAGCAAAAGTTAGGATTAGGCCTTGACATTTTATCTGCACCGGATTTCCAAACCAAAACTGACTTAAATATATCCAATCCCAAACCAAACCAAAAATATATATGTATCTATTGGATCTAAAATTTCTCTACCCAAAAAAACCAAAACTAAATAAAAACATATCTGAATAGATCCAAACCCGAAAAAGTCTATCTCAATAGACCCGGTCCAATAAGAACCACTTCGTACCAACTTAAAAAAAATGAATATCCAAAATTATAATTTCATATGTTTTATTTTCTATATTTTAGTTTATGATTTAGTTGAGATGTCTTTTTGTTAGCAATTCTTAATACTATTTTTATAGCACTTTTCAAGTAATCTGAAATTTTAGACGGTAAATTTAGAGTATAAAATGTTTACTTTCAATTATTAATAGTGTAATATTAGTTATTTTACAAAAATAGATAATTATGCTAGATTTTGACTAAACACTAATTAATTTTGGCTTTTTTGGCCTTTTGGCTCTTTTCAGATCCTAAAATATTCTATCTGAATCTGTTCTAGATCAAAAATTATAAGTATTTTATAGATATTTTATTATAGACCTGAATAGACCCGAACCAAAAATTCATAAGTATTTATTGAATCCAAATATTTAGGATTCGAAAGATCTGAACCCGCAAAAAAACGATCCAAATCTGACCCGAATACCTTAACCCACAGACCTAGTGGTAGTACAACCGTCTTTGACGTTTGTTATTTAAGGAAAAATATTAGTATTAAGATTAACAAAACCCATCTACAGTATTAAAGCATAATCATTCTAAGAATTATGTCCTTGATTTTTGAGAAAAATTACAAAATCATACCACTAATTTCTATTTATTTAAATTAAAGAATCAAATATTTCCTATATTTATAGGAACTAATACTTTCTATATTTTTGTCAAAGGTAATAATTCTGATTTTTATGCCAATTATACTTGCTATTTAATTTGAATATATTTTTTTGTAAATAATAATATCAAAAAATCCAATATAGGTATATACATGAAGTTTTAAAAAATATTATTTACTATGTAATTTTCTACTTAATAAGAATATGACAATTTTTAGTGTTCAAAATAAATTAAAACTTATCATAAAATTAAATTTTAGATCTAAAATAAATAAAAATATAAACATAGAATAAGTTACTAAAACGAAAGGAAACTAATATTGTCATATCATATTTTTTTGTCTTTTTATATTACCATTGTTTCGTTTTCTTCAATAACATAATAAAAATTTCATCAAATTCTAAAGAACTAAAAAAACCAATTTTATTTAATATTAAAAAAAGAGTTATTTAATCAAAAATTTCAAAAATATTATTAGATGTTTTGGGTTTTTAGTGGATCGACCAATATCGGATCGCAATTTTTAAAATTTTTACCAGATTATATCGAACTTTTAGTTAAAAAATTATTTCATTAAATTCAAACTGGACTATACACAAGTGTCTAGATTTATCGCTTCAACCATATATCTGAATCAAATATAAACACACTACTTAAAAATCAAACATTATAATTAAACATTTTTTTAAATACTAATAAACAATTTTTAATTTCTTTGTTTTTAATATTCCCTCTGTTTTTGTGTGTATGTCGTTGTAGAGGTATCGTTTTATAATTTCGATGCAGAATTTATTAATTTTATATATTTTTCTGTTTTTTATTGGTTGAAATGTGGTTAAGTGTATAGGTAATTGTGTTTTTATTTTGAAATTATATAATATTTAATATTTTCTTAATTTTTGTGTAAAAATCAAAAACGACAACTAAAATAAAATGGAGAGAGTAAAAGTTATAAATTTAATTAAATTTTATTAAAACGGAAAAAACTTAAAACGCGGATCAAAATCTAGTATATGCTTAATACACAAAACAGAGAACCCATTGACTTGAGACCCATAAGCTTTAGCTAATATTGCTGATAAAGTCTATATCTAAAATATTAGCTGAGCGTCTAAAACAGTGGCTAAATAACCACTACAATAAATCAGTTTGCATTTAGCATTGGAAGACTCATAACTAGTAATGTGCTTATAGCCCATGATGTATTCCCTTAATACTGTTGCATAATATTGTTACAAAAACAAAAGTATTCCCTTACTACAAAGAATCTTAAGCACAAATTCATGGCTTTTTTTTTTTTTGACATAGACCTACATACTCATATAGGCTCTTTGAACGAAACCGATAGCTATGTATCCATGTGAACAACGAAAGACGGTTGTATCTAGGCACTTCGTGCTAGACTATCCGTCCGAGAGTTCAGTGTTCTTTGTACATGAATTATTATCAAGCTGTTGAAGCTTTCTTGAAGCGTCTTGATATCGTGGAGATAACTTGCAAAAGCTGGCTATTCTTCTGGTTTTGAAACCATTTTCACCAATTGAGAACTCTTAAGCTTGATATAGCCAAGGTTTTTGACAAAATTGAATGTACTTTTATTGATTCTCTGATGAATAAACGGGTTTTTATCAGAGACTGAGGGACTGGATCATGAAGTGTGTCACAATTGTGTCTTACACTATCTTTAGTCAACGGAGAACAAACAAAAGTCATCCATCCACAAAAAGACTCAGACAAAGTGACCCTCTTTCACCTCATCGCTAAATCCTTTGTTCATAAAAACTCTCCAGACTAGTAACAGAGAACATTCAGCAAAAGCTGTTACATGGCTTCAAAGCTACCCGGTATGGACCTCCCATCTCACATTTACTTTTTGCAGAGGGCTCATTAGTGTTAAGAAACAAAGGAGGAAGCTCGTAACCTAACTCATTTCCTTATCACATATCAAAGAGCTTCAGGATATGAAGCCAAGTCTGCAATATCGTTCAGTAAAGGTACTCTTCAAAACTTGCAAGAACTAATAATTAAGGAACTTGGCATAGTTAAGATTGGAGGGTTTGGAAAATATTTATATTTGCTGTTAGTGGTGGAATACTCCCCTCTACAAGGCCCACTGAATAATGGGCCCCGCCCATACGAGCTCCGGCCCAGTGAGGTAGCATGTCTCTAGTTAACGATTAATCAGGCTTAACTCGGATAACCCCTGTGATTATCCGAGTTAACGACGCTTAGGAGGGACATTTACCTTGACGGACCGGCTAGGGCCCATTCGGTGAAAGCCCTCCACGCAAGTGACCAGCTCGTTAGGTCAAGACGAAGAGCACTATAAAAGGAGGAGACAGGGCAACAAGGAGGGGATCCGAAATCACTTTTACTCACAAGGCGGCTAGAACTAGGGTTTTCACTCTTGTATTTTCTTTCCGACTTGTACGGCACGGCTGAGCTCCCCGCGAGACTCCTCCCCGCCTCTCCTGATTTGTAACCGAATTCTCTCATTAATAAAACCACTCTTCGACTCTAAATAGTAAATAACGCCTTTGAAATAACCCACTGACGAGTCCAGTCACTCATTCACTGAAAAGACCGAATTCGGTTCGAACAGTTGGCACCCACCGTGGGGCATAACAAAGTAGTGTCAACACATGATGAGTCCGAGTAACGATTCAACCTCCGGCGACGAAGAGGATGCCGCATCACCGACCTCAGGCGCCGCCGTACCACTCGTTCCGACCTTCGTCGACTCCTTCATGAAACACCTCGCTCGCCAAGACGAAGCTCAGAAGACGATGAACGAGCACTTCGCAGCCATCGCCTCCATACTCGCAAACCCAGACGGCGCCGGAGGACACCTTTCGACGGCCCGACTGTTTCTCTTCAACAAAAACCATACTCCTACTCCGGCTAACCAGCCCATCATGCCGACCGGACCCACAGACGACTCTGCACAACCGGGGAACAGTCCGGATCTGCAGACCATCCAGGAAATCGCCGCACTCAAGTAAGCCCTCCTCGACATAAACTCGAAGATTCACGGACTCACGACCTACGCTTCGCTCATCGAAAGCATCCTTGCGGACACCATCCGGACCGTGTTCACTGGTAGGATAACCGACGTCAGACTCCGAAAGATGGACAAGATCCGTTTGCCGACCTACGACGGCCTCTCGGACCCAACGGCCCACATCACATCCTTCAACATCGTGATGCGGCGACAGAACTTCACCAACGAAGAACGGGAAGCCGGTTACTGCCAACTCTTCGTCGAGAGTCTAACCGGTGTGGCCCTCACACGGTTTACCGGGCTCCCCGAAAACTCTGTTGACAGCTTTCACGATTTGTCATCTGTGTTCTTAAAGAAATACATAATGTTTACGTGCGAGGAGACTACCGCATCCGATCTCTGGAACTTCTCCCAAGCACAAGGTTCAAAGCCTTCGCAGTTTCATGGAAAAATTTAAAGGGCATCGTATCCAAAGTCAAAGTCCCGGACAGCATTGCTGTCAATGCCCTCATGAACACACTGTATGTGCATTCCAAATTCCGAGACGACCTCTATCGCCACCCGACAAAATCCCTTTCTGACGCCATCGCCCGGTCTAACAACTTCATCTGTATGGAAGAAGATACCAAAGCAATAATTAGCAAGCAGAACACAACGAAGCAAGCGTCGTCAAAGAGTAGTGACACCCGTCCAGAACGGCGGCAGCACACCTCAAGCGACAAACCGAACCCCAAGAAAAGCTTCGTCTACATGGTGGACAAAGACAACCTCCCGGGCTTGAAGATCGTAGTCCGAGCAAAGGGATGGAACCACTGGGACAGGACGGACGACGAGCAAAAGGCACCAGGCCCATTCGAAGCATCAGGGTCAAAACCTGACGAGCCGGAGAAATACTGCTACTATCACAAGAGTAAGAAGCACGACACTAAGGAGTGCACAGTCATATACGAGCATTTCCTCTCTTCGGTTGCCAACGGCAAGTTGGAAATCGAACCAGCTAAGACCAAATCGAAGGAGAATAACTGGAGCAAAAACAAAGACAAGAAGAGTCGAAAGCCTCAAGCCAAGGCTCCACGAGC